CTTGCGCCTAGACTAGCACTTACTGCTGTTAAGGGAGCTTTAGGTGGCTTCCAGCTATCTCCCATTAATTTCCTTCAGGGTGTAACTCGAGGGAGCCCAAGGTCAGGACTTCTAAGCTCAAGCTTGCTTGGCTGAGCTCCCTGCCTGACCTCAATTCCCAAGCTTAAACTTGTAATTTCTTCTAGATATCATTAGTTGCCCCCTAGTCCCTGGTCAAAATGAGTTTGAGCAGGGGTTGAGCTATTGTTGGGTTGACCTAAGCCTTTATATAGTGACCTTGATTTGTGTGCAAAGTGAATTTACTGACAATTTTGCGCAATCATTTCTTCCTTGTTCTGGTGCACGTACAAAGTTTTAAATACTCCTGTGGCAACAAAAACCGCTTCACTTTTTCATTCGTCTTCTCTCTCTACTCTTTTTTTTTTTAGGTTCAATATTTTTTTTATTGATTAAACCTCAATTACAAGAATCAAAACAAACTATTTTAAGAAAAAAAAAATAACTGTGTTTCCAAAACTGAAAACAAAAAACTGTTAAAAACAGATTTTCTGTTTTGTAACAGAAATTCAGTTAAAGAAGCAGTTACAGAAAAACAGAACAAAAACCTTGAACTGCCACCTATACGCCTGCTTCAATAGCTGAAAAACCAGTTGCACTGCCCACCAACAGCTCAACAGGTAAATAGAAGCAAAACCACTGCTTGCATCAACCAGTAATTAACTCCTTGCAAGTCAACTCCAAATCAGTAGTCAAGATCCTCAGCTAAGACAGCTTAAAAATCCCAAACCAGTACCTCAATAACAGCACAGCATCAACTGTTTTACAATCCAACTCAACCCTTATCATCAAAAATCATACAGCTCTTCTTGCGCAGAACAAGAAGACTCCTCTGACCTTGAATCAAACACTGTCTGACAGCAACTGGCAGCTGAGCATTGTTGACAAACTCAGAAGAGTAACCCTTATAAGCAGCAGTATTTGCCAAGGCATCAGCAACAGAGTTGGCTTCTCTATATATATGCCCAAAAGTAAACTGCATTCTGTTCAAAAAGGCTTTAATCTGATTCAGAAAACCCAGCAAAGGCTAGGCACAATCCATCATAACCTTAACAGTCTTAACCAGCACCAATGAGTCTGACTCAATACAAATTCTCTCTCCAAGCAAACCACACCTATCAATCATTCAAAGACCATCCAACAGAGCTTTAAATTCAACTCTCATATTAGTCTCAATGCCATACCAGAATGAAGCAGCACAGACCAATCCTCCCCACTCATTCCTGAGAACTGCTCCACCTCCAGCTACACCAGGATTCCCCTTTGTAGCACCATCAACATTAAGCTTGAGCACCCTAGACCCTGGACAGGACCAACAAACCCATATGGCCTTGGTGATCATCACATAAGGCACAATAATTCCTAAGGAATTCAACACCATTTTCTCAGTTTCATTATCCAATACCTTAGGTTTAATCAATCTGACCTGCAACCTCAGAAAGCTGCAAATTTTCAAAAAGACAGAATAAGAATTAATTTGTCCTTCCTCAGCTCTCCTCCTACATATTTATATCCATATTTGCCAGAAAATCAGTAAGGAAAGACATCTCAACAGGCTGCAACAAATAGTTTCCCTCTTGAATACTCTGCACAACCTCTGCATTCTAACCAGAGGTAATTCCTCATGAATCAACTGGAAACCCCCCAAACTTGCAAACCTGCTCCAAAGTGCTTTTGCATACTTGCACTCCACAAATAAGTGTACTGCACACTCCTCTCCCTCACAGCACATTACACATCTACTCACCAAAGGAATCCCACATAACCTAACTCTGGAATCCATAGGTTAAGCCTTCATTAATAACTTCCAACTCACCAGTTTAGCACTAGGTGCAATGTTCATCCTCCAAATAACTTTAGCCACCTCATTCTCCATACCTGGAACCCTTACCATATTCCATGCATCTTTCAAAACAAAATCACCAGATGCATAATGTCTCCATACAAGCTTATCAACACTATCAGACAAAGTTAAACTGTATCCCAAAATCTCTGATCTCAACTGCTCAGTCAAAAAGTCATCCACTTGTTCCAACTGCCATTGAGATCCTATAAACACCTCAAATACTTTGGGAAAAAAAGAAGGCCTCACCTCCATTCTACATATCAGAGGTCCCCCTTCCAACCAATGATCACACCAAAAGTCAACTTGATCACCTTTACCAACCAACATTTTAGACTGCATAATCACATGTTCAAAAAAAGGCACTAAAGCCTTAAAACATTTAGATTTATCCCCAATCACACTCCTCAGCAAATGATTACCTTTAAGGAATTTAGTAGAGAAAACCTAAGACCATAATGATGTACCTTTCAGAAGACCCCAAGCCTGTTTTACTCTAAAAGTAGCTTGTAGTTCCTCAAATTTCCTCACCCCCAAACCTCCCTCAAGTTTTGGTAAAGTGACCTTACTCCAAGCCACCCAATGCCTTTTCCTCACATCCAGTCTACTAGACCATATGAACCCTGCCATTATAGAATTTAACTTGCCAATAACACCCTTGGCATATTCAAACAAGCCAATAAATGAATGGGCACAACACTCAAAACAATCAGCACCATCAAGACCCTGCCCATGTTAGACAACATCTTAGCATACCATCCATCTAGTCTACTTCTGAACTTATAAACAACTCCTTCAAAGTCTCTAATTCTGGTCCTACCCTGGATTATTGGACACCCAAGGTAAGTAAAAGGACACTGCTTAAGTAGAATTCCAGCAATACCAGAAAGCTCCTATCTTCTACTACAGGATATCCACTTTGAGCAGAACATAGAACTTTTCTGCACACTCACTTTCTGACCAGAAGATTGTTCATACTCACCTAGAAACTTCATCAAGTTCACCAGAGACATTTTACATCCGCTGAGAAAAACCAAAGTGTCATTAGCAAAAAAGCAAATGAGACACTAAGGTTGTCCCTCTCCCCAAATGGTACCCTTTTACTAAGCCCTCTAAATAAATTTTCTTCAAACCTCTACTCAGCACCTCTTTTGCAAGAATAAACAGACAATGAGAAATTGGATCCCCTTGCCTAAGGCCTCTAGAAGCAGGAAAAAAACCAAAACTTTTTCCATTTACACAAACAGAGACATATTGGCTCTCCAAACAGTTATGAATAATCTTCACAAACATCTCAGAAAAACCCAAACAAGAAAGAGTTCTCAGCCAGAAATCCCACTCAAGCCTATCATAGGCTTTCATCACTTCAAGTTTTAAGAGCATATTACCAGCCTCCACCTTTCTATCCAAGTTCTCCACCATTAATTAAGCCAAAGCAACACAATCACCCCCACTTCTACCCTTCACAAAGCCATGCTACTCATTGGAAACTACCACTGGTAAAATAGGAGCAAGCCTGGAAGCCAAGATCTTATTAAGCACTTTATACAAAAAAATGCATAAGCTAATAGGCCTAAAGTCTGAGAAAGACACAGGATTAGGCTTTTTTGGAATCAGCACAAGCAATGTGGCATTAGCAGACCTTGGAACCTTACCACCTTTCAAGAAAAAGTTCACTGCTCTCACCAAATCAAGTTTAATAACCTCCCAGACCACATGGAAAAACTTCCCAAAAAACCATCCACCCTAGGTGAGCTATGTACAGACATGGAAAAAACCACACTCTTTACCTCCTCCTCATAAGCCTCAACAATCTGTTTGCTATTCATCTCCTCATCCACCAACAAAGGAATCTCAGAAAATAAACTATTCTGCAACACATTATTTTCAGACTTATACAAAGAGGAGTAAAAGCTTATAGCCACATCAGCAATCTCCAAATCAAAATGTACCCAATCCACATCAGATTCATTCTGAATCTTAGAGACCCTATTTCTGATTGCTTTTCCTTTTGCCATAGCCTGATAAAATTTTGAATTCCTTTCACCTTCCACATCCCATCTGATGTTGGCCTTTTGCCTCCAATACACTTCCTCCAATTTCAAAATTTCATCCAATTCCTTTTGCACTTTCTTCGTGGACAAAAAATTACTGTTAGTATTATTTTCCTCAAGCAATATTTTTGCCTTCATAACCTCCTCTTCCTTCCTCCTAATCCTTTCAAAAATATTGCCAAAAATCTCCCTGTTCCACCTCTTAAGATGAACCTTCAAATACTTCAGTTTCAGAAAAAAAATTCTCAATTGGATTTTCTGAATATTCTCCAGTCCATTTTGACACAACCAATGGCATAAAACCACGATCCTCCACCCTCATATCCTGAAATTTAAAATAAGAGACTCTAGAAGAAAAGGAGTCCATTACCTTAAGCAGAATAGGAGAGTGATCAGAACCTCCCCTTGCTGAATGCAATACCTCTATACTACCAAACTTACTACACCAATTGGAGCTAAACAAAAGTCTGTCAATCCTCTGCCACATCTTAGTTTGTCCATGATGGTTGTTGCACCATGTAAATCTGCTCCCAATAAGTCCCACATCCTGCAATCCAGCATCATGCACAAATGCCCCAAACTCCTCCATTGCTAAAGTTGAAGGATATGCACCCCCCAACCTCTATCAGAGCATAAAATAGCATTGAAGTCTCCTCCTACCATCCAAGTAGAAAACAAAGCTATATCAAGTCCCAAAAGGTGTTCCTATAGTGGCCTCCTCAACACATGGTCACAACAAGCATAAACCATGGTTATATACATCACCTCAGATCCCAAATAGGAAGCCTCAACAGTCAAAGCTTGCTCATGCTGAGCTACTATATTAACTTGCACCCTGTCATCCCACAAGACCCACAAATAACTTTTAACCAAAGGATTATAAGCATAATGAGTTAAACCAATGGACATAGCCAGTCCATGAAGCTTATTCTTCCTCATCTTGGGCTCCTGAATAGAGACCATACACACATCATTCATTCTCACCAACTTCTTAAGCCTATTTCTCTGCTCAGCTTTCTAGCCCCCTCATATTCCAAGATAAGTAATTAATCATGAATAAGAAAGAGGGCTCCATTCCTGGACCTTAGACTAATAGAAACTTCACTAGAAACCTCATTCAGAGCATTAAAATCAGAATCATCCTCCTCCAATTCCAAAGTGAGATTTTTAGGTCTCTCAATCTCAACACCACCACCATCAGACATATAACCTTTATCTGGTGGATCATTTCTTCTTTCTAAATCAATATCATCATCTACAGACACATTCAAACCCCTCCTAGTAACATAATGATGTTCAACATAAAACGAACTATCATTTGAGGGTGAAAATTATCTAGTGCCATTACAGACATTAAATTTCCATGACCCACAGGAGTAACCAAAAGATTCCCCGTGGCCTCCCCTTGCACTTCCCTTTCTTACTCAACTAAAGGCTCAGCTAAAGGATCTACACTGATAAGATTCGCATTAAACACCACTTCAGTAACATTATTTCTGATACCATCCATCAGAATAGGCACTACCTCATCAATACCAGCCACCTCATCTAGCAAAACACCTACACTTTCAGTTCCATTCCTCTTTTGTGCTTCCTGTTCCTTTCCCCATTAACATTCCCATTAGAAAATTCTCCCAACTCAATATTCACAACCGGGACTCTATCTTATTGTTCCTCCAACACCTCAAATCTATTCTCCATCTCTACCTCTTGAACAACAGTCCTCTGTCTAAAAGGCATTTTACCTTTGTTTCTACGAACCTCAATCATCTCATCCCTCCCGGTATCCCTGTTCTCCACCTCATAAATCCCCTTATCATGCCTCTTACCTTCACTCTAAAGCAAGATACCATCACCTCCCTCCTGTTTCTTCTTCCAACAAATCACAGAATCATGTCCCTATTTCAAGCAGTTAGAACAGTACATAACACTTTTCTCATACACAATCTTCTACCATCGACCACTCAAACCCCCCATGTCTAACCATAACCTTCTTGGGTTATTAGCCAACAGATTGACCTCAACACAAGCTCTCGCTACACCAGAGCGAGTTAAATTCAAAGTAGCCTTATCAATAACCAAAATGCGACCAATAGGGCTTAAGATATCCCTCAAACTATCCACATTAAACAAATGAATAGGGAGACCTGGTAAGGAAACCCAAACTAGTACAACTGGTGGCTCAATACTAGGAAGAAACTCCGGGAACCCCTTGAAGAACCTAAATAGAAAACCTTCTATATAGGTAGCGTCCTTAAGCCACATATGAACATAATCCTCATATGATTCAAAACAAATTAAGATGTGCCTTGGATCTAGGATTCCAACATGAAAATCATCTTTAGGTTTCCATCTGGTAATGATAAACTCACGAATTACGCCTAGAGATGGCTTACCATATGCGTATTTCCCAATCAGAGTTTGCTGGAATTTGGATGACAGCTCCTGAGTCTCTTCAGATGTCCAATATATACCAGGTTCGTCATTATTAAAAACAACTTTTTTCACAGCCTTTAAAACATTCGATATAGCAGGCAAAGCCTTCGCAGAAGCCATCGCATTCATCTCAAATCCAAGAACACTCTGCAATCTGGATACATCAGATTCACATACTTTCTCACCGCCAAACAAAGGAATTTGACCAACAAAAGTAGTATGAGTATTCATTGAGTGACCAATCAATGGGATTCAAACCGAAGAAGGAAATTGAGTAATCGACGAAAAATGAGTAATTGAAGGAATTTCAAGCACTGACGATGTTTGAGCAATCGCAGGGATAGAAGGAGGCATCACACACAATTCCTCACCACCAGAGGGATTCACAGAAGAACCCAAGCCATTAACAGATCTAGAACTAGTGTTCATAGAAGTAGAAGTTTTATTGAACAAGGAGGCAAAATTACGAGTAATATCCGGAGGTTTGGGTGGAATTTGTTTCTGATTTTGATCTGAATTCATGTTAAGACACAATAATCCAGTAAAAATTGCAAACTTTAGTGAGAAATCCAAGGAAAATGGAGTAGAATCGAAGTCTTGCAAAAGAAGTCTAGCTTCTCTCTCTAAAACAGAAATAACTGCCCCCACTCTCTCTACTCTTTGCCTCCTCTTTTCCCTTGCGATTCTAGCTTTCTTAGTCTGTCTAGAGTTTTGCTGAAGAAAATTTTCTCAATTTGACTTCAAAGATTCTGTGAGGCTTACTTTTCGATTATGCTTTGGGCTTTGGTTTGTCACCTCACCCTTGATTAGGATTGTTCTTTGGCTCTTACTCACTTCTTCATTCTGGATCACTCGAATTTGAGGTGGTTGTACTTTTGAATTTTTTATTTTTGCTATTTTAGAAATCAGGGTTGTTTTTTGTCTTAACTTCCCCTTTTTTTGCATCCTTACTCCACTATTAGGTTCTTTTTCGTTGGTCGCTGTTGTCTCAACCCCTTGATTCTTAGGGACTATTTTGCTAATGTTCCCTCCTTTACAGCTCTTTCAATCTTGCTTTCTCCCATCCAATTATGTCTACCTGTTTCGAAGCTACATTCTCATTTGTTTCCCTCATGGATGACATATTTTTTGAAAAAGACATCAATTTGGGAGACGTGGGCGAGGAGATTGATAACTTTCCTGGTGTCGAATCTATCGATCTCGAGGAAGAAGCTGAGGATCTCCCTTTGTCTTCCTCCCTTGTGCCTCAGAAATCCCAGAAGGGTAAAGCCAAAATGAGTGGTATTGAGATTTTTGGAAACGCTGAAGGTGTAGGGATTGTCCTTAGAGCTTCAGAACTTGTGGGTTTCAGGGAGGTCACCCCTCCTTATATGAAGGTTTTATCTGCTCGTTTCAGTTTTCCTCATAGTTTGCAGTATTGGTGCCCAGACATGGACACTCGATATGACTCCCCAATCCCCAAGAAGGTCTGCTTTTTCGTGGCTACTTTTGAGAACGGCCTTCGTTTCCATTACACCCTTTTCTTAAGAGCGTCCTTCAACACTTTAATGTCTACCTTGTTCAATTTTCCCCTAATTGTTGGGGTGTTCTGGTGGGCCTCCTCGTTTTCTTCAAGAAGCACGAGCTTGGGGTTCCCACTATGCCTTTGCTCATGAAATTTTTCAATGTCAAGTATATTCCTTCTAACGGCTTCTTGTACATTTCCAAATGGGTAAAAGCCTAGGTCATCATCACTAACCTCCTAAACTCCCACAAGGGTTGGAAAAAACTCTTCTTCTTTCTGTGGGGTAGAGAATGGGAATATAATTCTGAAGATGTGGCTGACACCTTACCAGTACCTCGGGCTTGGTCTGCCCCTAATAACTTAGGTAAGCCCTGCTTGAGTAAGCCTGGAACGGCCCTGATGCTTTATTCTATTGACCTTGTTCTGCTCATTTCATTTCACTTTTAAGATATTCGACCCAATCTCAATGTTGAGGATAGGCAAATTCTGCTAAGCTCAGAGGATTGTGATCCAGAGAAATATTTTGAGCTCATTAAGCTCAAAGTACTTATTGAACTTGGGTTTAGTCCTCTAGAGGTGAGGGTTGAGACTCTCATCCCAATTTTTATAGCTGGAGCAAAGGAGGTGGCAGATAATATTTCCTCCTTTTCTTAATTTCTATCTCACTTCTTCCTTTTTTATTTATTTGTCTTAAGCTTCTAAGTTCTTCCTCGATGGAACCATCTACAAAGGATTTTAGGGCAAAGGTCAGTCAAATGAAGAGAACTAGAAGTGGAGGCAAGCCCAAGGCAGAGGTCGGGTTAGGAAGTGGTGTTGCCTCTTCAGCCAAGATACCAAGGTTAGAGTGCCTCATGCTTCTCCTCCCTCATCCCAAGTGGCTCTTGTTCCATTGCCGAGCTCTTCAAAGATCATACAAACCTCACTTTCTCGAGGGATTGTGACTTCCTCATCTAGAGGGGTTCTTGAGCAAGTTGATGTTTCAACTTCTCCTTCTTCGGCGAAGGTCGAGGGAGCTTTGGAGTTAGTTGTCCATATCTTACGTAGGCCTTCTCTTCCCAAGCCTGCTAAGAAGACTCATCTCTTACAAGTAGAAGGTGTGAAGGCTGAGAAAGGCAAGGGTCACTTATTGATAGTGTGTAGCTTGCTACTGAGGCTATTGCTTCAATAATCCCTGAATCTAATATCCAGAGAGCTGCCACCATGCCCCTTGAAACTTCAATTTCCATCATCCTATAAGATGCTACTTCAATAAGTTTTTGGTTTCTCAAATTTTATTTTTGTCTTGTGTCATCCCCTTGTGCTAACTTTAGCATTTAAGTCGTGCTTTCTCCTAGCTTGTCATTCATGTGAGTGGTTTGCTGAAGCGGATCAAGGTTCTAGGGAGCTCTGCCAAAGCTTCAAAGACTTTCAAGCTCAGAGTGGCCAAATTGACTTTTGCCAATAACGATCTCCAAGCTCAAATCTAGGGGCAGAAGGAGAGACAAACTTATATTATTAAGGGATTAGAGGCCGAGAAGGAAAGGATTGAGGATAAAGATAAGAAGACCAAAGAAGAGCTTAAGAAGACCAAGGAGGAGCTCAAGCTGAAAACTGATGACTGGGTAGGCCAACAAGGAGGCCTTCAAGACTTTGGGTTCTTATGTGGGTATGAAAAGGGAATATGACATTCTGGTAGAAGCGAATGACACTCTTCGGAGTGAGCTTGAGGTGCAAAGAGCTGGTGTTAAGTAAAAGACGCTCTGGTTGCTAAGCTGGCAGATGATGTCACGACCAAGTGGGCTATTGAGTACCTTGCTTTTCAAAGTCAAGCCATGCGGAGGTATTCGGATTTGGTTTTTGACTTTGACCCTCTTCCGATGAGGAAGAGGTATCAGGTGCTGAAGAAGAAGCTGGGGCTTTAGCTTCATCAGCTTCTGAGCTTCATCCTGAAGGCACTGAGGTACCTCCTCCTACTGCCGAAGTCCTGGCCCAAGAGGTTTCCCCTGCGCCAACTATTTCTGCAGTCCTTGTCCCTGATCCTACCGCTGGAGTAGCTAATCTGCTCCTTGCTCCTGCTGATGCCTCTGTTAGTGTTCTCGTTTCTAGTGATGTCCTTGCCGACCTTGCAACTCAAGCTTCTGGGTTGAGTTTGCCCCCAACTGGAGACGAGGACCCTGCCCCTGCTCCTATTCTACCTGAGATCCATCTCCCTTCACCTGCTCCTGAACTTTCAGTAGTTTTTGTCACTAAGTTGCCAGACGCTTCTTTTGCTTCTACCGCAGAGACTTAGGACTTTTTGAGGAACTTTTGTTGTTGTTGTTTGTTGTTTTTTTTTTAAATACCTAGTACTCTACTTCCTTTGGGAAATGTCATTATACATTGCTTTTTTGAATTGTTGTATTTTCGTAATTGTTGTATTTCTGTCTGTTGTGTTGTTGTGCTATGTTTTCTATTCCCCTTACCCCTTACTTCGAGGAGGGCTTAGTTCTTCTTGAAGTAGAATTTCCAAGTTTGGAGAAGCTAGATAGCTAAAGAGAAAAAGAATTGTTGAGTTAAATGGCAAAGGTCTTAACCTTGGAGGGCACATTCTTATGAAATGAGGAGCCTGTGAGCTACTAAGTCTACTTAGGCTGGGCTAAAGACCTCTTGGCTTGAGTTTACACTCGCATAAAATTGTGTTGCTTATGTTTTGAGCTCTTCCTGAACTGAGCCAAGCTTGCAGTGCTAAGTTAGCGGAGCTGAACACCGACTTTCTCATTGTTGCGCATACCCGCCTACTTTCTAAAAATGTATCCACCACCATAATTTTTGAAGTTTAAGGGACCGCCTTTTCACCTTCATGTGTTCCTTGGTTCCTTAAAACTCGAGATTTCTTGAAGTTTCCATAAAGCTTTAGACTTCCTGATGCTTACAAATCTTAAAGTTTCTTCTTGTCAGCAATCTTTGGGAAAGAAATCTTGGGTTTCCTGGTTGCCACTGGCTCTTGCAATCTCTGTCTTCTCCTTGGTTTCTGACGGTTGTCCCTTTTTCTTCTTTGTTCAAGCAACTAGCTTTTATTGGGATCAACTTGAGGTGGCATTCCAACTACTTGGTTCCTTCGGTGGTAACATCTTCAGAGTTGGAAGGAATCAAGAGAGGATTTCTTCTTCCTACAAACTTACCCTTGCGAGTCCCAACTTCTGCCAAGCCCTGTAACTTCCATTCTCAATAGGAGATTTGCTTCTTTGAAGGTGCCTTTGAGATAGGCCTTCGTCTCCCCATCCATTCTTCCATTGGGTGGATTCTTGCCTTCTATGGTTTGTGCCCCTCTTGCTCCTTAAGTATGGGGTGCAATGATCAACTTTTTCCTTTTTTGGCATCCATAAGGCAATAGTGATTTCCCTACTATTTCCAAGTTCCTTTATTTCTATGAGCTTGAAGAGGACGAGCTCCCTTGCTTTAGTTGCTTCAGATGAAAGCGCTTCTTCGAGCCCTCGCTGGTCCTTGATATTCCCTCATCTCCTGAAGGATAGGCCAAACGCTTTTTCTTTGCCTTTGGAGATTCCTGGAGGTCTACTAAGTAGTGCTGCACGTGGTCTAGGGTTCCTCGCTCTTGGGAGTGTTTTTCTTACAAAGGTAGAGTTTTAGAAACCTATTCTGCTAGATTCATGATGATTGGCTCTTATCATGCTTATGTTGTGTAGGTGCGCCTAGTTTGACTTCGGCGAAGCTGTGGAGGGTTAACTAGGTGGCCCATGTTGAGCCTGCTCCTTTTTTAGAGCTCGCTACTCTACATAATTTTTTTTGTTCAGCGTTGCAGTTGCTGCTTTAGACTTTGCCTCCTTCCCCGTTTCTCCCGATTCCTCCCCTAATAAGACAGATAAAGATGAGGACGTTGCTACGTCTTTAAGAAAGCGCAGTAAGAGTGATTTGTCTTCTCAGTCGTCAGGTTCCCCCTTTAATTACA